CTTCAGTCACTCTAGAATAGGACCGATTACCTAGATCCATTCAGTTCCTGGTTCAGGCCAGGGTTTGCCAAGGAAGCTGTTCTGGTTGCTTTACACGATGACCCACATTGGGAGAGAGGCAGGGGAAGTGAGAATGTGCGGTACTTCTGATGTCTCAGCAGCTTTAGATATCCTGGCATCCCTCTGGGATATTTCTATTTATAAATCAACAGAGGATTTATTCATACGGCTCAGGTCTCATTTACTGTGATCAAATAATATGGGTTTGCCTAATCAGATAGCTCTATAACCAGATGATTTCTTATGCAATTTCTGCACTGGAAAAGGAACGATGTTGACCTTGCGCAATTGTTCCCATGGTAAACTGGCTGCATTCCAGACAATGATTCGGAACCAGAGTGAAGCACATTTCAGTGATATTGTGGATATTCTGAAATGGAGGAGGAGGAGGAGGAGGAGGAGGAGGAGGAGGGATTGTATCAAGTCCACGTGCTTCGCCAAGCCAGGCAGATCGTGGAAATGGACAAGATGTACAGTCAGTGGAAGAGCTTCCAGAGGTTTAAGAATTCGCAGCCACAGTCCAGCCCCCTCCATTCCCCACCCAATGGGGAGGTGACCCCAGAAGCAGGAGGCCCAATTGAATGAGCAGTTCGCAACTAGGAAAGAACGCCCCTCCCAATGGGAAGGGACCGAGGCATATCCCTAAGGAGACATCCTGGAAATATGCAAACCACTCTATGAACGCTCATTCCATAAATGGGAACACAGCCAAATGGTTTCTGCTTGTTTGTTTTTGCATTTGGTGGTGTATCTTGAAGGGGGCTGACTCAAACCACTTCTGGTGCCTCTTAAAAGTTTCTGAGTTGGTTTCTCTGCCACAAACTCCCTACATTAGCTTCCTGGTTTTAGCAATGTGCAGATGTGCTTTGGGAATGTACAGGTACAGGGATGTGCAAGTGCAGGAACTTCATGCAATCTCTGTGTGTAGACTTCACGTCCAGGTTGTTTGTTTATTCGTGGGAGTGTTTGAGGATACCTGTTTGCATGTCCTAAGTCAACTTCATGTTAACCCCTGACTCGGGTTTGTTGCACCATAATTTAGTTGGGGCTAAGACCTGTTCATGCCCAGGTTACAAATGGTAAAAGGAAGCAGATTGGCTACCAAGTAATATTGGCTGAAACACTTTCCTTCTCATTTGCTTGCATTTCTGTTTAGCTACCTTAGAGATGATGCATAAGAAAAAGCATGGGCTTAATTACAGTGGAAAGGCCATCCAGCTTTTGGAAGATGGTTTGTGTAACATCCTGTTGCAATTGTGTAATTAAGGAGATGTAATTCATGATTCCTTAAAACAAGCAGAAAACCAAAAGAAGTGGGAGCTGATCAGGACTGGGACTGAGGAGTGTGGGGATGGGAGTTACCTCTTGTGCTCCCCCTGGCCTTGATGAGCATCACCCACCTTCCTGGGAACACAGAGCAGGTGCTGCTATTGGGAAAAGAGGAAGCTCTCTCTTGGAGGCCCACAATCGTTTAAGGGGATGAGTGTGTTTGAGATATTGCCATATTAGGATATGGGGAAATCCATGACAGCATGAGCCACAGCCCTCAAAGATACAGGGAGAGGAATCCCCCTTCAATTGACGCTCCTTAAAAATGCCCCATTTTCTGCAAAGCTTCATGGTGTTGCCAGTGTTCCATGCAGTTCTTCATCAGAACTCACCGCAGGGAGCTCTGCAGTAGCTCATGGGCATCAGGAGCAAAATGTCTTGTGTTGCTAGATCACAGCTTCCTGGCACTTTATTACATTAGATAAGTAATAAGTGCTCTGACTTAGTATGTACTGTGACTACAGAATTTACTTTTACCCACAAAGGAGGAGCACTTACCACTTGGTTTCCTTTTCCGTATTATTTACAGAACAGCATTTCATGCAAGTGCCAAGTCATAATCCACTCTTGCCACACTTCAACCCACTGAGGATTATATTATCAGTCAGACGAACAGGAAAATCTTCTCCTCACAGGAGGGTTGGAGAGCAGTTGAGCAAAGGGAAAGTCAGAGAAGGTGAGTTCTCGTGTCATTCTTCCATTGGGTTTACCTTTCTCTTCCAGGTGCACAGGATCCACAGGAAAATCATCAACGAAAGGGTCAGTTTCCATCCCAGTGTGGGATATTCTGCCTCTCCACTCTTCCTGTGCAAACATTTCAGCCTGAAATGGCCTAAATCTCTAAGTAGTGTTGGTTAGCCCCCAACTGGAGTGCTTAGTCCGGGTCTGGGCACCAGCAATTAAGACAAGTTGGAAAGGGTTCAGAGGAGGGCAGAAGAGAGATTGAAGGAACTGGGCATGTTTAGTCTAGAGAAGAGAAAATGGAGCGGACTGATAAGCTGACACAGTACGAGTACTTGAAAGGCTACAGAAAGGACAAACTCTTGATCATCAGAGTGCAGAACATGGAATATCAAGCTAGATTCCAGCTAGATATCAAGACGTTAGCTGTTAGAGCAACCCCATGTTGCCTAATCAATGCAGGTTTTATGGCTGTATTTCTCACTTCCATCACAATTAATTAATTGATTGATTAATTAAAAGTTTTATATCCCATCCCCTTCAGAACGTCTTGGGACTGCAATTATCATTTCATGGCATTTATATCCCACCCTTTTCCTATTCAGGATGTAGGTGGCAAAAGGGTTGTTCTTATTGTTCAAGGCACCAGGAAACCCAAGGACAATTCCATTCCTGCCAATCATCATCATCTTATCATTGTATGGCATGTACTGCCTCCCTATCTCTCTCTTCTTGCAAAGAACCCAAGATGACTTCCCAGTCTACCTGTACTCTATTTTATCATCACAACAACACATCTGTGTGGGAGGTGAGGCTGAGGGTGAGTAACTGACCCAAAGTCAGCCAGTGAACTTTTTGCCCAGTGGATACTAGAACCCAGCTCTCCCTGCTTCCAGTCCAAATT